GATAGATAGATAGATAAATGATAGATAGATAGATAGATAGATAGATAGATAGATAGATAGATAGGGTGTGCAGGGATAGATAGATAGATAGATAGATAGATAGATAGATAGATAGATAGATAGATAGATAGATAGATAGATAGATAGATAGATAGATAGATAGATAGATAGATAGATAGATAGATAGATAGATAGATAGATAGATAGATAGATAGATAGATAGATAGATAGATAGATAGATAGATAGATAGATAGATAGATAGATAGATAGATAGATAGATAGATAGATAGATAGATAGATAGATAGATAGATAGATAGATAGATAGATAGATAGATAGATAGATAGATAGATAGATAGATAGATAGATAGATAGATAGATAGATAGATAGATAGATAGATAGATAGATAGATAGATAGATAGATAGATAGATAGATAGATAGATAGATAGATAGATAGATAGATAGATAGATAGATAGATAGATAGATAGATAGATAGATAGATAGATAGATAGATAGATAGATAGATAGATAGATAGATAGATAGATAGATAGATAGATAGATAGATAGATAGATAGATAGATAGATAGATAGATAGATAGATAGATAGATAGATAGATAGATAGATAGATAGATAGATAGATAGATAGATAGATAGATAGATAGATAGATAGATAGATAGATAGATAGATAGATAGATAGATAGATAGATAGATAGATAGATAGATAGATAGATAGATAGATAGATAGATAGATAGATAGATAGATAGATAGATAGATAGGGTGTGCAGGGATGGACAGATTGATAGATAGATAGGGTGTGCAGGGATGGACAGATTGATAGATAGATAGGGTGTGCAGGGATGGACAGATTGATAGATAGATAGGGTGTGCAGGGATGGACAGATTGATAGATAGATAGGGTGTGCAGGGATGGACAGATTGATAGATAGATAGGGTGTGCAGGGATGGACAGATTGATAGATAGATAGGGTGTGCAGGGATGGACAGATTGATAGATAGATAGGGTGTGCAGGGATGGACAGATTGATAGATAGATAGGGTGTGCAGGGATGGACAGATTGATAGATAGATAGGGTGTGCAGGGATGGACAGATTGATAGATAGATAGGGTGTGCAGGGATGGACAGATTGATAGATAGATAGGGTGTGCAGGGATGGACAGATTGATAGATAGATAGGGTGTGCAGGGATGGACAGATTGATAGATAGATAGGGTGTGCAGGGATGGACAGATTGATAGATAGATAGGGTGTGCAGGGATGGACAGATTGATAGATAGATAGGGTGTGCAGGGATGGACAGATTGATAGATAGATAGGGTGTGCAGGGATGGACAGACTGATAGATAGATGGGATGTATGGGGATACCTAGCTAGCTAGCCGGACAGATGGGGCTAGATGGATCCATTGATAGATGGTATCTATGGGGCTAGGTAGATAGATGGGACGTCTGGGGCTAGACAGACAGACGGACCGACAGGGTGGAGCGAGAGAGCCGTGCGGGGACTAGCTACTAAGACACACAGGGGATGGCCGTGCGTGGGGCTCAGCCAGACAGCTGTCTGTGGATAGGGAGCGAGGCGCATTGAGATGCCATTGGAGCTAGGGAAGCAGGTGGCTCCGTTGATAGATGTGCGAGGGGGTCAGGCAGACGGATCAGTCGATCCCTCTAACAGGGCATCTGGTGTCTGCAGTGGCCTGGGCCGCACCTTCGGGCAAGGTGGGTTTTCTCCCAGGGTCCCTGAGGGCCTGGTGGCTCTGTCCCTGTGTGAGCCGGGGGACGCTGAGTCCATGCAGGGGGCTAGTGCTGGCTCCTTGCTGGTGATGTTGCCGGTGCCTTTGGTCAGGCAGACGGATCAGTCGATCCCTCTAACAGGGCATCTGGTGTCTGCAGTGGCCTGGGCCGCACCTTCGGGCAAGGTGGGTTTTCTCCCAGGGTCCCTGAGGGCCTGGTGGCTCTGTCCCTGTGTGAGCCGGGGGACGCTGAGTCCATGCAGGGGGCTAGTGCTGGCTCCTTGCTGGTGATGTTGCCGGTGCCTTTCGCGGGGCAGCGGCCAGCGTCGCCGGGAGCAAGCCGAGGACTCTGCGTCCTGCCCCGGGGGCGCCCCTGTCCTGTGCCGGCGGCCGGGGGGGCTCGTTCGGCTCCAGCCCAGTGAGGACCGGGAGGAGGGGGATACTTACTAAATAAACAGGATGCCAGCTGCTGCCAGTCCCAGCCCCGCTGCCCAGGTCAGGGCCGTGGCCCCGCTGCCGACCACGGCCTCCAGGTCGCAGTTCTTGGTGGTGGGGGGCGGCAGGAAGGAGGAGGTGCCGCTGGTCGTGGTCTCTGCAGCGTGGGAAGAGAACAGCCCACAGGCCGTTACCGGCTGCATCGCCCTG